ACCACAATCACCCACCACCACAACCACCACAATCACCACCACAACCACCACAATCCCCACCACAATCACCACCACAACAACCACCACAACCACCACCACAACCACCACCACAACCACCACCACAACCACCACCACAACCACCACCACAACCACCACCACAACCACCACAATCACCACCATAATCCCCACCACAACCACCACCACAACAACCACCACAACCACCACAACCACCACCACAATCCCCACCACCACAACCACCACCACCCACCACAAACACAGGCGTGGCCGGTCTCGCCTGCCCGATGATGATTGGGAACCTTGTCCGGATCTCTGTGGCTATGAGATGTTGACTACCTCGCTTGGTGTACAGGACGTCGTGGGTTCGACCCTGACGATGCCTGCTGCTGTATATTTGGAGTTTGCGTGTCTCTCTCATCGTCATCACAGTGGCTAGGAGATGTTAACCACCTCGCCTGGTACACAGGAGGTCGTGGATCCCGACCCTGACGATGCCTGCTGCTGTATATTTGGAGTTTGCGTGTCTCTCTCATCGTCATCATCATCACGGTGGCTAGGAGATGTTAACCACCTCGCCTGGTACACAGGAGGTCGTGGATCCCGACCCTGACGCCTGCTGCTGTATATTTGGAGTTTGCGTGTCTCTCTCTCTCATCATCATCATCACGGTGGCTAGGAGATGTCGACTACCTCGCCTGATCTACAGGAGGTCGTGGGTTCGATCCCGACCATGACGATGCCTGCTGCTGCTGTATATTTGGAGTTTGCGTGTCTCTGTCTCTCATCATCATCATTATCACGGTGGATAGGAGATGTTAACCACCTTGCCTGGTCTACAGGAGGTCGTGGGTTCGATCTCGAGCCTGACGATGCCTGCTGCTGTATATTTGGAATTTGCGTGTCTCTCATCATCACGGTGGCTATGAGATGTTAACCACCTTGCCTGGTATACAGGAGGTCGTGGGTTCGATCTCGACCCTGATGATGCCTGCTGCTGTATATTTGGAGTTTGCGTGTCTCTCTCATCATCATCATCACTACGGTGGCTAGGAGATGTTAACTACCTCGCCTGGTCTACAGGAGGTCGTGGGTTCAATCCCGACCATGACGATGCCTGCTGCTGCTGTATATTTGTAGTTTCCGTGTCTCTCTCCCCATGGTCGCGTGGATTTTTCTCCAGGTCCTCCGGTTTTTCCCCTCCATATTTATTTAGATATAAATTTCCACGTGTTGATGTTGATGACTATGATAAGGCCACAGAATTGAGCTGTCATTTGTGATATGCAGGTCGCCTCTAAAAAAGCACTACACAGCTCTGTGGGACTGATATTTTGTTACAATGTCATTCCTACTCGTTTCCACTCTTATCTTTCTGTGCTATTGAAGGGTCGTTGCCCGAAACGTCGCCTGTTTATATATGTACAGTGGCATTCTCATGAGGCCCCACACGGTGTAAAACGAGTGCAAGTCTTCAACTCGTTTCCACTCTCATCTCTCTGCGCTGTTGAAGGGCCGGTGCCTGAAACGTCGCCTGTTATAGAACATTGCCTCTGTTAAGGCCCACCGTGTTATTGACGCCTGAATCGGAATATAAATATTTTTTGTTTAGACTGGAGGATTTCGAAGAGCTATAAAGTTCATCTTCTTGGTTCTTTCGGTAAAGTCACGTTTCTACGTGACGATGAATCCCTGCAGTCACGAAAGCTTTAAATCTAAATCTTTCGGTAAAGTCACGTAGAAGGGAAATAATAAAACAATAAAATTAAAACATAATAAAATACAATTCTCACAGCGTCTGTCTTTCCGACAGCCCTGTTCTTAACCTGAGGACGGCTGCTTGCGTTGTGGCCGAAACGTCGTGAAAATTTTTTAATTATGTTTAATTTTTATTATTTATTATTTCCATTCTACGTGACTTTACCGAAAGAACCAAGAAGATGAATCCCTGCAGTCACGAAAGCTTTAAATCGAAATTTAAAAGCTATAAAGTTATTTTATCCGTTTGATGCTGCCACACTCTGCGTTCATAATAGAGATTTTTTTTTGGGGGGTTAAATCGCAAGGACTGTTTTCTTGGAATTTCTCTCACTTGATACAGCAATCGTGCTGTGACGGTTCCACCTGAAGACGGAGGCTTGTTTTGCCTCCGAAACGTCGTGATTTTTTTTATTTTAACTTTTTACCTATGTGACTTTACCGAAAAAACCTAAGAATATGGATCCTTGCAGTCACGAAAGCTTCAAATCTAAAACTCTACCTTACTCTCTGGTTCTTTCGGTAAAGTCACGCAGGTAGAAAATTAATAGATCTCGACATTTCGATCGCAGCAATCGTCATCAGACGGGACAATCGGCAGTTTTTCTTGCTGTGGTCCTCCCACCTGATGACGATTGCTTGTGTTGCGATCGAAACGTCGTGATCTATTAATTTCTACCTACGTGACTTTACCTGAAAGAACCACAGAGTGTGTGGATTCCTGCAGTCACGAAAGCTTCAAATCAAGATTGACACTCTACGTTATTGGCAATTGACAACTTTGGGCCCCGCCTTTTGGAGTGCTTGCCTACCTCGCCTGGTCTACAGGAGGTCGTGGGTTCGATCCCGACCATGATGATGCCTGCTGCTGTATATTTGGAGTCTGTGTGTCTCTCTCTCTCATCATCACAGTGGCTAGGAAATGTAAACTACCTCGCCTGGTCTGCAGGAGGTCGTGGGTTAAAGTCACGATCCTGACGATGCCTGCTGCTGTATATTTGGAGTTTGCGTATCTCTCTCTCTCATCATCATCACAGTGGCTAGGAGATGTTAACTACCTCGCCATACAGGAGGACGTTGGTTTGATCCCGACCGCGACGCCTGCTGTATATTTGGAGTTTGCTCGTCTCTCTCTCCCCGTGATCGCGTGGATTTTTCTCCGGATCCTCCAGTTTTTCCCTCCCCATTTAGAATCAACACCACGCATTTAGAGTATTTGGCGGCTATACATTTCCACGTGATGGTCAGCCGCTTCCCTGAGCTATCAATTGTGATAACCAGGTCGCTTCTGAAAAATAGCATGTCCTCTCTTCCACGGGGAGAGAGGACAGGGTCGTGATTGAACCCACGACCTCCTGCATACCAGGCGAGGTTGTTAACATCTCACCACGTGGAGAGAGGACACGCAAACTCCAAATATACAGCAGGCGTCAGGGTCGTGATCGAACTCACGACCTTCTGCGTACCGGGCGAGGTAGCTAACATCTCACCACGGGGAGAGAGAACACGCAAACTCCAAATATACAGCAGGCGTCAAGGTCGTGATCGAATGCACGACCTCCTGTGTACCGGGCGAGGTGGCTAACATCTCACCACGGGGAGAGAGAACATTCAAACTCCATATATACAGCAGGCGTCAGGGTCGTAATCGAACCCACGACTTTCTGCGTACCAGGCGAGGTAGTTAACATCTCACCACGGGGAGAGAGAACACGCAAACTCTACATTTTCAGCTGGCGTCAAGGTCGTGATCGAACCCACGATCTCCTGCGTGCCAGGCGAGGTAGTTAACATCTCACCACGGGGAGAGAGGACACGCAAACTCCAAATATACAGCAGGCGTCAGGGTCGTGATCGAACGCACGACCTCCTGCGTACCAGGCGAGGTGGTTAACATCTCCTAGCCACGGCGGCTCCCCTTGTTCTACAGGCCGCGTCGTCTTGTTTCTCACGCGCTTCGCACGTTTGCCGAACTTGTTCCGCAGCGCCCGCAGCCCGACCGTGCCCATCGGAGGTGCGGATTGACCACGCGGGCTGCCACCACCGTCTCGCCCCGTCGTCCTATCTCCCCGGAGCTTGAGTCACGATGTCGTCGATGAACATCCGCGTAAGTAAAAACCCGGCCGACCCGGTTGTTTGACTGAGCCCCGTCGGCTTGGCAGAGGGAGATACGCGAGAGAGCGTCGGGGGCAATGCTGCCTCGCGCGTTGCTAGGGGAGCCCCCGTGATGCGTGCGTACGTGTGCATGCGTGCGTAAGTGTGCATGTGTGTGTACGTGTGCATGCGTGCGTACGTGTGCATGCGTGCGTACGTGCGTACGTGTGCTTGCGTGCGTGTGTACGTGTGCATGCGTGCGTACGTGTGCATGCGTGCGTACGTGTGCATGCGTGCGTACGTGTGCATGCGTGCGTACGTGTGCTTGCGTGCGTACGTGTGCTTGCGTGCGTGTGTACGTGTGTACGCATGCGTGCGTACGTGCGTACGTGTCCATGCGTGCGTACGTGTGCTTGCGTGCGTGTGTACGTGTGCATGCGTGCGTACGTGTGTACGCGTGCGTACGTGTGTACGCGTGCGTACGTGTGTACGCGTGTGTACGTGTGTACGTGTGTACGCGTGCGTACGTGTGTACGCGTGCGTACGTGTGTACGCGTGCGTACGTGTGTACGCGTGCGTACGTGTGTACGCGTGCGTACGCGTGCGTACGCGTGCATGCGTGCGGTGAACTTCTTTCGCGCCGTACGTAGCAGACCGCGCCGATCGGAAGGGCGACAAGGTAGACGCAACAGGAAGTAATTCTAGAGGAGTGAGTTTTCAATAGTGTAGTGTACAGTGGTGTAGTGTATAGTGTCGTATATCGTGTAGTGTATAGTAGTGTAGTGTACGGATATTGAACTTCTTTCGCACCGTATGTATTTGACCGCGCTAATCGGAGGTGCGGGGGGGGGGGGGAAGGACAACAAACCAGACACGACAGCGAGCAGTTCGACAGAAATGAGTTTGCCAATCGAGATGACGATTTCAAAGTGCAGCGTAGCACCCAAGAGCGTTCCAGTAGGCCTCAGCAAGGTCAGGTAGAAGTTAAAAGGTAAAAACAACGAGCCTATTTTTACCCTACCTTTTACCTTACCACATATAAATTACCCAATTATAGGGTAATTACTAGGGAACTACTACGAACAAGGTTTATAACGGTAAATGCTATAAGGTAGAGCGCTTTAATCATATAGAATACTCTCGATGATTCCAATTTTACACGCTTGTTGTCATTGTTGTCGTTGTTGTCGTCGTTGTCGTATCCTCAAATCTTTTAACAAAATTTTTACCCACTTCCCAATGTGGTATCGACTGCAAACTTGGTATACTTATGTCGTACTGATGACAACACTATATTCTATCATAAAATCCTTTTTTATATGTTATGTTTCGGCTTGGGTCTAATTGTCCACGGTCAACTCACGTTGGCTGTAAATCCCCACGGCCCCCTTACGTTGTGGCAAGCTTCGGGGCCACTTCCTGGAGTCGTGGAGTTCTGCCATTACTAGTACATTTCATAAAAGCGTGTTTTTAAGAAAGTTTGTTTTAATATTACTTATTAAATGTAGGCCACGGACTGCGCCACGGAGCTTTTAGCGGTAAACAAGGCACCGTATTTACCGGGTAATACTTAACGCTACCTTTACTCTACCGGGTAATTCTTCCGAGCTACCTTTACCCGACCCTTCACCTTACCCCTTGGTATGTCGACATCTTCACCTTTACCCTTTTACCCGGTAAAAAGGGTAAATTACCTTACCTTGCCGAGGTCTACGTTCCAGACAGACGCAGAAGCGCATCGGGAAACGCGCGGATGCGGCGACTGCCGTCTGTGTTTCGACCGGTTAGCCAAGAGCTGCCGCTGCTGCCGCCGCTACTGCTGCTCCGAGGATGACGACGGGAGTTTTGCGCGTAGGTCAGAGGTCGCAAACAAGTTTTGATTGCTTACCCGTACCCGGCCGCACCAGGGTTGCAAATGGGTACGGGTACCCGTTCCCTACCCGTACCCTACCCGAAATGAGTGACAAACGGTTACTCACCAGTGACTCACGGTCTACCCGTACCCGGCCGCACCAGGGTCGCAAATGGCTACCCGTACCCGTAACTGGCCGGGTACGGGTAGCCGGGTATCGGGTAGGGTACGGGTATCGGGTACCCGGTTGCGACCTCTGGCGTAGGTCGGTCATCGCGCGTTGTCCCGCGTCAACACCAGCGTGCCTCCGCAGGGGTGCGCCGACGGGGAGACGTCGGCGGAGGACGTGCCGGCGTGCGGCCCCACCTCTACCTCTCGCCTGCCCGTCCGCAAGTTGACCAAGCGCCCACCAGAGGTGGACGGGGAATCCGTGAGTTGTCGCTCGCTCGCTCGCCTCACCCCCCACCCCGCTCCATCGCTCTCGCGCGAAATGGTCGTGGTACGACAATGAAATCGGACTGCGAATGGCGGAGCGTAACGATAGCCGTTCAAACGAAGGGGAGGGGGTCCAGCGCGTCCGAACATCGCTTGCCAATGCAGCGACATCCGCAAGGACTGCTGCCCGGTCAGCCTTGCGCCGGGTGCCGGATAGGCCGTGCCTCGATTGAACGAGCCGCGACACAACGGACACAATTATAAAAACACGATAGTAGCGTATAGTGTCGAAAAGGTAAACGCATTGCTTAAAAAAAATCAACATACAAATAAAACTACATTTTTTTTTTTTACTTACCAGCATCAAGACCACTGCGGGAGGACGTGCGATGCGATAAATAATTTACGATATTTAGAATCGGAATGTTGACTTGTTGCAGCAGGAGGAATCCTGTGAGCTATGAAGCTCTTCGTCACAGGTGTCCAGTCAGGAGGGAGGCACAGGGTCAGAACGTTAGAACAACAACAACGACAACAACGCTGACATTGACAAAAACATGATGGTAGTGTGAAATGTGGGAAAGGCAAATTAATCCCTTGAAAAAAGATGTCCACAACTAAAACTCAACTGTGTTTCTATACCTTACCAGGTAGAGCCCACGGCCACGGGAGGTCGTGCGGTGCGAGCTGCCTTGCTTGTGTCTCACCCCCCCCACACACCCCCCCCCCCACACCCCCTGTCTGCTGTCCAGAGGTCGCAACCGGGTACCCGATACCCGTACCCTACCCGATACCCGGCTACCCGTACCCAGCCGGGTACGGGTACCCATTTGCGACCCTGGTGCGGCCGGGTACGGGTAGGCCGTGAGTCACTGGTGAGTCACCGTTTGTCACTCATTTCGGGTAGGGTACGGGTACGGGTAGGCCGTGAGTCACTGGTGAGTAACCGTTTGTCACTCATTTCGGGTAAGGTACGGGTAGGGAACGGGTACCCATACCCGGCCGGGTACGGGTACCCATTTGCGACTCTGGTGCGGCTGGGTACGGGTAAGGAATCAAAACCCGTTTGCGACCTCTGCCGCTGTCCCTGTGTGCCGTGTCAGGTCAGCAAGAGGCAGCGTCTGGACGGCATGTTGCACGCGGACGGGGTGGGCAAGGGGCAGCAGCAGCAGCGCTCGCTCTCCACCATGTCGCTGTACAGGCCCAGCGCGGCCACGCGTCCCGCCAAGGTCTTCTCGGCCATCACGTGTGAGTGTGTGTGGGTCTCTGTGTGAGTGTGTGGGTCTCTGTGTGAGTGTGTGTGGGTCTCTGTGTGGGTGGGTCTGTGTGAGTGTGTGTGGGTCTCTGTGTGGGTCTCTGTGTGAGTGTGTGTGAGTTTGTGTGGTTCTGTGAGTGTGTGTGGGTCTCTGTGTGGGTGTGTGTGGGTGTCCGTGAGTGTGTGTGGGTCTCTGAGTACCTGTGAGTTTGTGTGGGTCTCTGTGTGGGTGTGTGGGTCTCTGTATGGGTCTCTCTGTGTGTGTGTGGGTCTCTGTGTGAGTGTGTGTGGGTCTCTGTGTGTGTGTGGGGGTCTCTGTGTGAGTGTGTGGGTGTTTGTGAGTGTGTGAGTGTGTGGGTCTCTGTGTGTGTTAGTTTATGTAGGTCTCTGTGTGGGTGGGTCTCTGTGTGGGTGAGTCTCTGTGTGAGTGTGTGTGGGTCTCTGTGTGGGTGGGTCTCTGTGTGTGTGGGTCTCTGTGTGAGTGTGTGTGGGTGTGTGTGTGAGTGTGTGTGGGTCTCTGTGAGTGTGTGTGAGTTTGTCTGGGTCTCTGTGTGAGTGTGTGTGGGTCTCTGTGTGGGTGTGTGAGTGGGTCTGTGTGTGTGTGTGTGTGCGTGGGTGTGTGGGTCTCTGTGTGGGTGTGTATGTGTGTGTGAGTGTGTGGGTCTCTGTGAGTGTGTGTGAGTTTGTGTGGGTCTGTGTGAGTGTGTGTGGGTCTCTGTATGGGTCTGTGTGTGTGTGTGGGGGTCTCTGTGTGAGTGAGTGGTTCTGTGTGTGAGTGTGTGGGTCTCTGTGTGTGTGTTAGTTTATGTAGGTCTCTGTGTGCGAGTGTATGTGTTTCTCTGTGTGAGTCTACTGGGGTCTCTTTGTGAGCGTGTGTGTAAGTCTTTTTGGTGGTGGTGTTAGTGGTGTGGTGGTGGTGTTGGTAGTGATGTTAGTGGTGGTGTTAGTGGTGGTAGTAGTCTTAGTGGTGGTAGTAGTGGCGTTAGTGGTGGCGGTGGTGGTGTTGGTAGTGATGTTAGTGGTGGTGTTAGTGGTGGTCGTGGTAGTGGTGGTGTTAGTGGTGGTAGTAGTGGTGTTAGTCGTGGCGGTGGTGGCATTTAACCGGCTCCGCATGGGGGCGGCCGTTTCTCCCTCTGCAGCTCGCCACACGTCGGCGCCCCAGCAAGTCAAGGCGGCCGTCCCCCCGAGGCACTCGGCAGGCCAGCTGGCCCGGGCCTCGCGTGCACGGCCACCGGCCGGCGCCCCTTCCACCACGGCCGCCCGCGGTACGTTGACGGCGCGCGGCAAAAGGGGCAGCCGCCATCGTGGTTTCGGCATCCGAGTCTCGGCTGTCCGTGGGAGGATGATCGAAGATGCGGAGTACTCGAAAATGAGAACGCTTGAACTGTGATTTCGATATTCTTGGGTTTTTTCGGTAAAGTCACGTAGGTAAAAAAATGTAAATTAATAAAAGTTAAATAAAATAAAAATCACGACGTTTCGGAGGCAACACAAGCTTCCGTCTTCAGGTGGAACAGTCACAGCACGATAGCTGTATCAAGTAAAGAGAAATTCCAAGAAAACAGTCCTTGTATATATTTACTGGTTGAGGGTGGGAGGAGCCAAGGTAGGCCCTGGATATTATTTTTGTGAGGTTCGGTGCGGCTGAAGAACGCTGTTAGGAACGAGCCTTTGTTGTGTAAACTAGGTGCGGATGATGTAAAGGTGCGTGTAAAAGGGACTGAGCCTTTAGTTATGTAGAGGTGATGCGGCTGAAATAGATGTCGTTGAGCCGTGTGTGACCCGTGCCCGTCGTGCTGTGTTTGTGCCGATTCCTCCTCTAGACAAGAAGTCCCTGGTGGCTGCGTCTGCTGCGACCTCTGCTGCACCTAAAGCAGCAGGTGCGTGTGGTGTGTGTGTGGTGTGTGTGTGGTGTGTGTGTGGTGTGTGTGTGGTGTGCGTGTGGTGTGTGTGGTGTGTGTGGTGTGTGTGTGGTGTGTGTGCGGTGTGTGTGGTGTGCGTGCGGTGTGTGCGGTGTGTGTGTGGTGTGTGTGTGTGTGTGTGCGGTGTGTGTGGTGTGTGTGTGCGGTGTGTGTGGTGTGTGTGTGTGTGTGTGCGGTGTGTGTGGTGTGTGTGCGGTGTGTGTGTGTGCGGTGTGTGTGTGTGCGGTGTGCGTGTGGTGTGTGTGCGGTGTGTGTGTGTGCGGTGTGTGTGTGGTGTGTGTGTGTGTGTGCGGTGTGTGTGGTGTGTGTGTGGTGTGTGTGCGGTGTGTGTGTGTGCGGTGTGGTGTGTGTGCGTGTGGTGTGTGTGGTGTGTGTGTGGTGTGTGTGGCGTGCGTGTGTGTGCGGTGGTAGCGCTACGCTGCACTACGAACCCGGCGACCCGAGTTCGATTCCCGCTCACGGCCAACACCACCAGCAACGATTATCTGAACCGGTCCTGAGCCTCCCCTGGGTCGACTAGGCCTCAAATGAGTACCTGGTGTAGCGGTGTGTAGTAAACATCGCCACCGGGGAGACAAAAGCTCTTGGGCGTGGTGCTGGCCACCCACCCCCTCGTGTGCCGTGCCGGCCTTCATCGGTGCTGTTCGCTAACAGCACTTGCCCCAACAGTCTGTTGAGGCTACACGGGGGATCTTTGTATTTGTTGTGCGGTGGTGCAGCGGTTATCGCTACAAACCCGGCGACCCGAGTTCGATTCCCGCTCACGGCCAACACCGGTGACGATTATCTGAACCGGTCCCGGGCCTCCGTGGGCCATCGCTAGGACTGCCACGATGTAAACCTTCTCAAGATCCGATGTCATTTTGTGCGACCGGGTGATTACCGCCGTCGCCAGTGTATAGTTTCCGCGATGTTACGATTGGCCAATGTCCTTGGGACCATCAGCTCAGCCTGTGTGAGTCTGACTCAGTCAATGTAAGTCTGTGGGTCTCTATGTGAGTCTACGGGTCCCTGTGTGAACCTATGGTTCTCTGTCATTTTATGGGTTTCTGTGCGAGTCTGTGGGTCTCTATGTGAGTCTTTGGGTCTCTACGTGAGTCTTTGGGTCTCTGTGGGTCTCTGTCATTCCATGGGTCTCTATGCGAGTCTACGGGTCTCTATGTGAGTCTTTGGGTCTCTATGTGAGTCTACGGGTCTCTGTGTGAGCCTATGGTTCTCTGTCATTTCATGGGTCTCTGTGCGAGTCTGTGGGTCTCTATGTGAGTCTGTGGGTCTCTATGTGAGTCTTTGGGTCTCTACGTGAGTCTTTGGGTCTCTGTGGGTCTCTGTCATTCTACGGGTCTCTATGTGAGTCTTTGGGTCTCTATGTGAGTCTACGGGTCTCTGTGTGAGCCTATGGGTCTCTGTCATTCCATGGGTCTCTGTGTGAGTCTGTGGGTCTCTATGTGAGTCTTTGGGTCTCTGTGTGAGTCTATGGGTCTCTGTTATTCTATGGGTCTCTGTGCGAGTCTGTGAGTCTGCATGCGAGTCTGCGGGTCTCTATGCAAGTCTGTGGGTCTCTACGTGAATCTTTGGGTCTCTGTGTGAGCCTATGGGTCTCTCTCAATGCATGGGTCTCTGTGCGAGTTTGTGAGTCTGCATGCGAATCTGTGGGTCTCTATGCGAGTCTGTGGGTCTCTACGCGAGTCTGTGGGTCTCTACGTGAGTCTGTGGGTCTCTACGTGAGTCTGTGGGTCTCTTTGCGAGTCTGTGGGTCTCTACATGTGCCTATTGGTCTCTGTCATTCCATGGGTCGCTGTGCGAGTCACTTGCGACCGAGCTCAAACCATCAAATCTCTACACTTGGGGAACTCCGTTTCAGGATCAGAATTTTTCTATGTTTTTCTTTCTTTCCTCTTTTTTCCCCGGCAGCGAGCGGTACGGCCCGGAAGCTGCCGGCGTGGGACATCAAGGGCCGCCTGGGCTTGATGGAGGCCAACTGGAGCCAGGACCAGGCGCGCATCAAGATGCTGGAGCAGATGGTGGGCGAGCTGGAGGGGGTGCGTGTCCTGCGGGAGCGCGAGACGTCAGTGAGCAGCGAGCAGGTGTCGCGTCTTCAGTCGGAGCTCAGGTGAGAGACGTGGCGGTGAGGTGTGACGCCTCCTGTCGGAGCTCGGGTGAGCGACGTGTCAGTGAGCGGTCCCTGTGTGTGTGCGTGTGTGTGTGTGTGTGCGTGTGTGTGTGCGTGCGTGTGTGTGTGTGCGCGTGCGCAGCAAGACGGAGACGGAGCTGGGGCCCCTCCGCCGCCAGGTGCAGGAGCTCACCGAGGAGCTGTCGGCGGCGGCGCGAGCACGGCAGCGCGCCGAGCGCGACCTGGAGGCGCGCGACGCCGAGAACGCCGAGCTGCGGCGCTCCGTGGCCGAGGCGTCGGCGCTGCGCCTCGCCATGACGACGCAGATCGACGTCGCCGAGGTGTGGGAGCGGGCTGGGCGGGCTGGGAGCAGAGGTCACAAACGAGTTTTGATTCCTTACCCGTACCCGGCCGCACCAGGGTCGCAATCGGGTACCCTACCCGGCTACCCGTACCGGGCCACCCGTACCCGGCCGGGTACGGGTATCGGGTACCTGATTGCGACCTCTGGGATGAAGCCATGTTGCAAGCGCGGGTGGGTTGATTCTAGGAACTTGAATTGTGAGAAGAGACAAGACGTTGGGAAATGAGTGACAAACGGTGACTCACCAGTGACTCACGGCCTACCCGTACCCGGCTGCACCAGGGTCGCAAACGGCTACCCGTACCCGGCCGGGTACGGGTAGCCGGGTGTGCGGGAGGTCGCGGGTTCCAGCCGCGGCGGCGAGCTGTCATTCGGAGGTACGGCGTTGCAATAAAAACTAAAAACATTGTTTTTCATTTCGATTGAAAGCTGTTCCTGACTGCATGGATTCATCTTCTTGGTTCTTTCGGTAAAGTCATCACGTAGAAGGGAAATAATAAAATAATTAATAAAACGTTAAGAAATACAATTCTCACGACGTTTCGGCCACAACACAAGCAGCCGTCCTCAGGCGAAGAACAGGTCTGTCGGAAAGACAGCGTCTGAAGTGAACTTCAGACGCTTCTGAAGTTCATTCAGACGCTGTCTTTCCGACAGACCTGTTCTTCACCTGAGGACGGCTGCTTGCGTGGTGGCCGAAACGTCGTGAGAATTGTATTTTATTATGTTTTATTATTTCCCTTCTACGTGACTTTACCGAAAGAACCAAGAAGATTCTTTTTCATGGTAAAGTTTTTGGGTTTAGATCGCGTTATTTATAAATGTGTCCGTAACCCTCCACCACCCGACACGGCCAAGCAGTAAAAAATGTGTCACGTTGACAAAAGACAAATAGTTCACTGCTTTAGCCCACCGGTGTGTTCTGGCAAATTGCCCGATGATGCTGGATGTGTAATTACCAGCGAAACGTCGTACTCAGAACTTGTAAATGATGTTGATTCACTCTTCAACACACCGGTGAGCTAAAGTAGTGAACTATTTTGTCTTTTGTAAACGTGACGCATTTTTTTACTGTTTGGCCGTGTCGGGTGGTGGAGGGTTACGACACATTGATAAATAACGCGATCTGACCCAAAAACCTTTAGTATGAATAATATTGGTCGCGAAAGCCGACATGTTAAACTCCATTTTTCTAAAAAGTCAAAAGTGTACCTGGCCTGCCACAGGCGCCACGGTGATATCACCGCGACTGTTGTTGTTGTTGATGCTGTTGTTGTTGTTGATGCTGTTGTTGTTGATGCTGCTGTTGTTGTTGTTATGCTGTTGATTTTGTTCTTGTTGATGTTGTTATTTATACTGTTGTTGATGCTGCTGGTCTTGTTTTTGCTGCTGTTTTTCCTGTTTATGTTGCTGTTGTTGAGTTTGTTGATGTTGCGATTGATGCTGCTGTTGATGCGGTTTCTGTTGTTACTGTTGTTGATGCTGCTGCTGTTGATGTTGTTGTTGATACTGTTGATGCTGCTGCTGTTGTTTATGCTGTTGATGTTGTTTATGCTGTTGATGTTGTTGATGCTGCTGTTGTTGTTTATGCTGTTGATGTTGTTTATGCTGTTGATGCTGCTGTTGATGTTTATGCTGTCGACGCTGCTGCTGTTGTTTATGCTGTCGATGCTGCTGTTGACGCTGCTACTGTTGATGTTGTTGATGCCGTTGATGATGCCGCTGTTGTTGTCGACGCTGCTGCTGTTGATGTTGACGCTGTCGACGCTGCTGTTGACGCTGCTACACCGACGCTGCCGTCGCCAGTGCCGCCTGCGTGAGCGCGAATCGGCGCTGCGGGAGGCCGGCGAGCGCGAGGCGGCGCTGGGGGCGGAGGTGGCGACCCTGAGCGCCAGCATCGAGGAGCAGGGGCGGACGCTGCAGAAGTACGAGACGGAGCGGCGCTACCTGCACAACCTCGTGCAGGAGCTGAAGGTGACGGCGGGGGCGGAGGGGGGGGGGTTCGGCGGGGGGGACCGGCGCTTGCTGGCGCTGGCTGGGGCGGAAGAGTTAAAGGGGGGATGGGCGCACGCGATGGAACTAGCGGCGATTCGATGACTACCACCAACGTCCTGTACGCCAAGCGAGGTCGTTAACATTTCATAGCCACCGTGATGATGATGATGATGATAGACCCCCTGGGCTTGAACCCAGGGTCTTAGTGGTGGTGGGTCAGTGTCTCTAACACGGACTTTGTGAACACCCTCCTACGAGAGAGACACCCAGACCCAGGGTCTTAGTGGTGCTGAGTCAGTGTCTCTAACACGGACTTTGTGAATCCCCCTACGAGAGAGACATCCAGACCCAGGGCTTGAACCCAGGGTCTTAGTGGTGGTGGGTCAGTGTCTCTAACACGGCCATTGTGAACACCCCTATTACAGAGAGACACCCAGACCCAGGGCTTGAACCCAGGGTCTTAGTGGTGGTGGGTCAGTGTCTCTAACACGGACTTTGTGAACACCCCTGTCACAGAGAGACACCCAGACTCAGGGCTTGAACCCAGGAAAATAGTGATGCTGGGTCAGTGTCTCTAACACGGACTTTGTGAACACCCCTGTTACAGAGAGACACCCAGACCCAGGGCTTGAACCCAGGGTCTTAGTGGTGCGCGGTCAGTGTCTCTAACAAGGCCATTGTGAACTCCCCCTACGAGAGAGACACCCAGACCCAGGGCTTGAACCCAGGGTCTTAGTGGTGGTGAGTCAGTGTCTCTAACAAGACCATTGTGAACTCCCCTATTACAGAGAGACACCCAGACCCAGGGCTTGAACCCAGGGTCCTAGTGGTGGTGAGTCAGTGTCTCTAACATGGCCATTGTGAACCCAGTCCTGTAAATGTAGATGCCACTGGTTCTTCACGCTCTGTAGATGTAGATGCCACTGGTTCTTCACGTTCTGCAGATGTAGATGCCACTGGTTCTTCACATTCTGCAGATGTAGATGCCACTGGTTCTTCACGTTCTGTAGATGTAGATGCCACTGGTTCTTCACGTTCTGCAGATGCATATGCCACTGGTTCTTCACGTTCTGTAGATGTAGATGCCACTGGTTCGTGTTCTGCAGATGTAGATGCCACTGGTTCTTCACGTTCTGCAGATGTAGATGCCACTGGTTTTTCACGTTCTGCAGATGTAGATGCTACTTGTTCTTCACGCTCTGTAGATGTAGATGCCACTGGTTCTTCACGTTCTGCAGATGTAGATGCCACTGGTTATTCACATTCTGCAGATGTAGATGCCACTGGTTCTTCACGTTCTGTAGATGTAGATGCCACTGGTTCTTCACGTTCTGCAGATGCATATGCCACTGGTTCTTCACGTTCTGTAGATGTAGATGCCACTGGTTCGTGTTCTGCAGATGTAGATGCCACTGGTTCTTCACGTTCTGTAGATGTAGATGCCACTGGTTCTTCACGTTCTGCAGATGTAGATGCCACTGGTTCTTCACATTCTGCAGATGTAGATGCCACTGGTTCTTCACGTTCTGCAGATGCATATGCCACTGGTTCTTCACGTTTTGTAGATGTAGATGCCACTGGTTCGTGTTCTGCAGATGTAGATGCCACTGGTTCTTCACGTTCTGCAGATGTAGATGCCACTGGTTCTTCACGTTCTGCAGATGCATATGCCACTGGTTCTTCACGTTCTGCAGATGTAGATGCCACTGGTTCTTCACGTTCTGCAGATGTAGATGTCACTGGTTCTTCACGTTCTGCAGATGTAGATGCCACTGGTTCTTCACGTTCTGCAGATGTAGATGCCACTGGTTCTTCACGTTCTGCAGATGCATATGCCACTGGTTCTTCACGTTCTGTAGATGTAGATGCCACTGGTTCTTCACATTCTGCAGATGTAGATGCCACTGGTTTTTCACGTTCTGCAGCTGTAGATGCCACTGGTTCTTCACATTCTGCAAATGTAGATGCCACTGGTTCTTGACGTTCTGCAGATGTAGATACCACTGGTTCTTCACGTTCTGCAGATGTAGATGCCACTGGTTCTTCACGTTCTGCAGATGTAGATGCCACTGGTTCTTCACGTTCTGTAGATGTAGATGCGACTGGTTCGTGTTCTGCAGATGTAGATACCACTGGTTCTTCACGTTCTGCAGCTGTAGATGCGACTGGTTCTTGACATTCTGCAGACGCAGTTGCCACCGCCACCATGTATTGCGCGGGGCGGTCGGCCTTGCGGCTTTCGGTCCGAACGGTCAATTGGACGTACGTTGACGGGCCTTGTTCGTATCTCTGAAAGTTCGTAAGTTGAGGAGTCCCTGCCCTGCCTCCCGCCCCGCTACGTCCGTGACGCGCAGGGCAACATCCGGGTGTTTTGCCGCGTGCGTCCCCTCCTCGGCAACGAGGTGACCAAGTCTGCGGAGCACATCTGTTTCCCCAGCATGGACGACTCCGGCATCGCCCTCGTCAAGCAGGAGGAGGTGACCCGCAAGCCGGCACCTCGTCGCAAACATCCCCCACCCTGTAGCCTTAGCAGACTGTTTGGGGCAAGTGCTGTTAGCGAGTAGCCTTAACAGACTGTTTGGGGCAAGTGCTGTTAGTGAGTAGTCTTAACAGACTGTTTGGGGCAAGCGCTGTTAGCGAGTAGTCTTAACAGACTGTTTGGGGCAAGTGCTGTTAGTGAGTAGTCTTAACAGACTGTTTGGGGCAAGTGCTGTTAGTGAGTAGCCTTAACAGACTGTTTGGGGCAAGTGCTGTTAGTGAGTAGTCTTAACAGACTGTTTGGGGCAAGTGCTGTTAGTGAGTAGTCTTAACAGACTGTTTGGGGCAAGTGCTGTTAGTGAGTAGTCTTAACAGACTGTTTGGGGCAAGTGCTGTTAGCGAGTAGTCTTAACAGACTGTTTGGGGCAAGTGCTGTTAGTGAGTAGCCTTAACAGACTGTTTGGGACAAGTGCTGTTAGTGAGTAGTCTTAACAGACTGTTTGGGGCAAGTGCTGTTAGCGAGTAGTCTTAACAGACTGTTTGGGACAAGTGCTGTTAGTGAGTAGTCTTAACAGACTGTTTGGGACAAGTGCTGTTAGCGAGTAGTCTTAACAGACTGTTTGGGGCAAGTGCTGTTAGTGAGTAGCCTTAACAGACTGTTTGGGACAAGTGCTGTTAGTGAGTAGTCTTAACAGACTGTTTGGGGCAAGTGCTGTTAGCGAGTAGTCTTAACAGACTGTTTGGGACAAGTGCTGTTAGTGAGTAGTCTTAACAGACTGTTTGGGACAAGTGCTGTTAGTGAGTAGTCTTAACAGACTGTTTGGGGCAAGTGCTGTTAGCGAGTAGTCTTAACAGACTGTTTGGGGCAAGTGCTGTTAGTGAGTAGTCTTAACAGACTGTTTGGGCCAAGTGCTGTTAGCGAGTAGTCTTAACAGACTGTTTGGGCCAAGTGCTGTTAGCGAGTAGTCTTAACAGACTGTTTGGGGCAAGTGCTGTTAGTGAGTAGCCTTAACAGACTTCTTCTTGGTTCTTTCGGTAAAGTCACGTAGAAGGGAAGTAATAAAAAAAATTAACCCGTAAAAACAAAGTTTTTCACTATAAATCCTTTATATGCGTGTTCAATGGGCCACAACCCAGCCCACATTGGTCTTTGAAACGGGCGGCTAGAGTCCTCTCGTCCTCTGGCTTGAGATGGCTGCCATCTATGGGTCAGATGATTGCCTGCCACCATTAAGCAATTTGTAATTAAATATTTAAAAAAAATTACCTAAAAAGTGTAAAATTTTGGAAACATTTTTCTCACGAAAATAAATTGTCACGCACAACGAGTCTGTGTGCAAAATGTCAGCTCGATTGGATCCCGGTCGTAAGCGCGCAAGCAAGCAAGCAAGTGAACTTAATATAAAGGATTAAAAAACATAATAATATAATTATTTTATTATGTTATTTTTATTATTTTATTACTTCCCTTCTACGTGACTTTACCGAAAGAATAAAAAAATAATCAAATAATAAAAATAGAACATGATAAAGAATTATTTTTTTATCTTTTATTTTTCTTATTTTATTATTTCCCTTCTACGTGACTTTACCGAAAGAACCAAGAAGATGAATCTCTGCAGTCACGAAAGCTTTAAATCGAAACTTAACAGACTTATCAAACGTGGTATGGTGGAACGGAGGGAAGCAAAGTTAAACTCATCATTAAGGAGAAATGTTGTTGTACATTTGCGTTTAATGTAACAAAAATACAATAAGGACACTGACAACACTGGTCAACACACTTGTTCTGGCATAAGGTTATTCCAACGGTTTTAATGTAATTTTGTGGTGCTGATTCCAAATCTGGCATCAGTTTTTGCCTATCACATCAGGTTGTTGAGATATCAAACATTGCATTTTCAATAAAAACTGCGGAAGAAAAATATTAAATAAATGTGGATATCTACATAAAATGATATTATAAACGCACTATCCTAAAAATACAGCACCATATTTTAACACTAAAGCAGTCACTGACTCGCAACAACTTGCAATCATAATTGACTGAGTTAATTTCGGGTAAAATCAATGAAAATGGGGTATGCCGATAGCATGAAAATGAGATGTGATAGAGCAAATCTGAGATCAGATTTGGAATTGACCGCTTGCGCCGCGTTTGACCGCTTGCGCCGCGTTTGACCGCTTGCGCCGCCTCGCGTGTCCCCCAGTCGCACACGGGTCGCGGGGAGTCGAAGCCGCTGCGCTACGAGTTCTCCTTCGACAAGGTGTTCCAGCCGAGCTGCTCGCAGGGGGACGTCTTCCAGGAGATTTCGCAGCTCGTTCAGGTTGGCTCACTCGCTCGCTCACTCACTCGCTAGCTAGCTCACTCTCTCGCTCATTCTCGCTCGCTCACTCTCTCACTCGCTCATTCTCTCGCTCGCTCGCTCCCTCTCTCTTGCTCCCTCTCGCTCACTCTCTCTCTCTCGCTCGCTCATTCTCTCGCTCACTTTCTCTCTCGCTCGCTCATTCTCTCGCTCGCTCGTTCTCTCTCACTCCCTCACTCTCTCATTCGCTTATTCTCTCACTCGCTTATTCTCTCGCTCGCTCGTTCTCTCTCTCGCTCGTTCTCTCTCACTCCCTCACTCGCTCGCTCGCTCATTCTCTCGCTCGCTCCCTCACTCTCTCACTCCCTCATTCTCTCTCACTCTCTCGCTCGCTTGCTCATTCTCTCTTGCTTACCTCTCACCCTGACCGCTCGACAACAAGAACAACCCCCTAGCATGTCGCTAGCCCTCAACCCCCTCACCCTCAACCCCCTCGCCCTCAACCCCCTTTCCCTCAACAACAGCTCCCTCGCCTGTCGCTAACCCTCAACCCCTTATTCTCAACCCCCTCGCCCTCAACAACAACAGCTCCCTCGCCTGTCGCTAACCCTCGACCCCCTCTCCGTGACCCTGTCCCACACGGAGTGATTTGCCGCCCTGACGCGTGCTGTCGTCTCCAATGGTGACGACGATGAAGACGACGATGATAATGACGATGAGGATGACGATGATGATAACGACAATGATGACGACGACAGTGATGGTGACGACGACGATGATGATGACAATGATGATAACGACTGATGACGATGATGACGACAGTGATGGTGACGATGACGATGATGATGATGATGATAATGACGATGAGGATGATGATGATAACGACTAATGATGACGACGATGATGGTGATAATGACGATGATGATAACTGATGACGATGATGACAACAGTGATGGTGGCGACGATGGCGATAATGAGGATGATGATAACGACAATGATGACGATGGCGATAATGACGATGACGAAAGTAATGACTAAGATGATGACGACGATGATGACGATGGCGATAATGACGATGACGAAGGTGATGATTAAGATGATGATGATGGCCGTGACGAAGATGTAAACCTCCGCACCCCCCCCACCCCCTCACCTTCCCCACCCCCCCCACCCCCCCGCCCCGCCCCGCAGTCTGCGCTGGACGGCTACAACGTGAGCATCTTTGCCTACGGCCAGACGGGCAGCGGCAAGACGTTCACCATGGAAGGGCCCGACGAAGCCGACTTCTCTCCGCACACCGAGGGCGTCATCCCGCGTGCCGTCAAACAGATCTTCTCCGCCGCTCGCCAGCTCGAGCCCAAGGGCTGGAACGTACGGCGCGGTCGTGCGTGGGTCGTGCGTGGGGGTGTGTGTGTGGGGGTGGGTGTGTGGGGGTGGGTGTGTGGGGGGTGGGTGTGTGGGGGTGTGTGGGGGTGTGTGGGGGTGTGTGTGGGGGTGCGTGGGGGTGTGCGTGGGGGTGTGCGTGGGGGTGTGTGTGGGTGTGTGGGTGTGTGTGGGGGTGGGTGTGTGTGGGGGTGGGTGTGTGTGGGTGTGTGTGGGTGTGTGTGGGGGTGTGTGTGGGTGTGTGTGGGGGTGTGTGTGTGTGTGGGTGTGTGTGGGGGGTGTGGGGTGAGGGCGTGTGTGCGTGTGTGTGAGTGTGTGATGTTGGGGGTGTATGGGTGTGCGAGCGCGTGTGAGGTTGTGTGTGGGGTGAGGGCGTGTGTGTGTGTGTGTGCGAGCGTGTGATGTTGTGTGTGTGTGTGAGCGTGTGATGTGTGTGTGTGTGAGCGTGTGATGTTGTGTGCGTGTGTGTGTGTGAGCGTGTGATGTTGTGTGCGTGTGTGTGTGTGAGCGTGTGATGTTGTGTGTGTGTGTGCGAGCGTGTGATGTTGTGTGTGTGTGAGCGTGTGATGTGTGTGTGTGTGTGAGCGTGTGATGTGTGTGTGTGTGTGAGCGTGTGATGTTGTGTGCGTGTGTGTTAGTGTGTGTTTGAGCGTGTGATGTTGTGTGTATGAGTGTGTGTGTGCGTGTGTGTGTGTGAGCATGTAATGTTGGGGTGTGGGTGTGAGCGCGTGAAATTTGTCTCGCAAGTGCGCCGTCTCTAACACGCGCGTGCGTGCACCGCCCCGCAGTACACGTTCCGGGCCTCCTTCATCGAGATCTACAACGAGAACCTGCGGGACCTGCTAGCGGGGCCGCGCACCGGCAAGTCCCAGCCGCTGGAGATCAAGCAGGCGCCCCTCAAGGGGAGCGGCGGTAGCGCCGCCGCCGCCGCCACCACCGCCCAGCTCACAGTCACCAACCTGCTCTACACCCCCGTCACCACCGAGGCAGAGGTTCGTGCGTGCGTGCGTGCGTGGGTGGGTGGGTGCGTGCTTTGGTGGGTGGGTGGGTGCGTGGGTGGGTGGGTGGTTGGGTGGGTGGGTGCGTGGGTGGGTGGGTGGGTGCGTGGATGGGTGGGTGGGTAAGTGGGTGGGTGGGTAAGTGGGTGGGTGCGTGGGTGGGTAAGTGGGTGGGTGCGTGGGTGGGTAAGTGGGTGGGTGCGTGGGTGGGTGGGTGCGTGGGTGGATGGGTGCGTGGGTGGGTGCGTGGGTGGGTGCGTGCGTGGGTGGGTGGGTGGGTGCGTGCGTGCGTGCGTGGGTGGGTGCGTGCGTGCGTGGGTGGGTGCGTGGGTGGGTGCGTGGGTGGGTGCGTGCGTGCGTGGGTGCGTGCGTGCGTGGGTGGGTGCGTGGGTGCATGTGCACGAGTGAAAACGGGGTGCGGTAGTGTAGCGCTCATAATACAGGTTATTTTTTTTGGGGGGTTGGATCGTGTACATTTTACGCTATCTTACGCGTAAAATTTACTAACCCTAAAAGAACCTTATTATGTCTTCTTCTTGGTTCTTTCGGTAAAGTCACGTAGAAGGGAAATAATAAAAATAAAACATAATAAAATACAATTCTCACAACGTTTCGGCCACAACGCAAGCAGCCGTCCTCAGGTGAAGAACAGGTCTGTCGGAAAGACAGCTTTTGACTTTCCGACAGACCTGTTCTTCACCTGAGGACGGCTGCTTGCGTTGTGGCCGAAACGTCGTGAGAATTATTTTATTATGTTTTATTATTTATTATTTTATTATTTCCCTTCTACGTGATGACTTTACCGAAAGAACCAAGAAGATGAATCCCTGCAGTCACGAAAGCTTTACATCGAAATGTAACCTGCATCATGGATTTCTATTGGTCTCCAGAAGCCGACGTGGTAGTGTAGCGGTCAGCGCTACGAACCCGGCGACCCGAGGTCAAGTCCCGCTCACGGCCGACGCCGGTGCCTCCCCTAGGTCGACTCGGCCTCAAATGAGTACCCGGTGCGGTGTGCGGTAAACATCGCCACCGGGGAGACAAAGGCGGCCGGGCGTGGTTGCTGGCCCACCCGGCCCCTCGTGTACCACAGCGCCGGTAGCCTTCACGGCACTTGCCCCAACAGTCTGTTACAGGCTACACGGGGGGTCTTTGTATTTGTTGTGCGGTGGCGCAGCGGTTCGCGTGTGTGCGGGGTGTTTTGTGTGTGCGTCTGGCCTGCCACTCCGTCACCTGGTGGCGAATAGCCGCTATTGGTGCGTCTTGCAGTGCGCGTGAGCATTGTGTGTGTGCGCGTGCGTTAGTGTGTTAGGGGGCTGTTCTTGCGCGCTGTGCTGTCGTGCCGTTGCGAGTTGACGCACGCTGTGCCACCGTGCTACCGTGTCGCTGTGACACGCTGTGTTCGCGTACTTCTGCGCTAGCATGCTGCGGTAGCGCCAGCGTGCTGCGGTAGCGCTAGCGTGCTGCGGTAGAGCTAGCGTGCGATGTGACCTCGCGTTGCCCCCCCCCCCCCACCAGCTGGAGCGCCTGCTGCTGATCGCCAAGGGCAACCGCTCCGTGGCGTCCACCGCCGCCAACAACCGCTCGTCCCGCAGCCACAGCGTCTTCCAGCTGCACATCCGCGGCAGCAACGACGTGACGGGGCAGCAGTTCACGTGTAGGAGCACGCACGCACGCACACACGCGCACGCGCGCACACACGCACGTACACACCAACATGCACGCACACACACGCACCTACGCACACACACACACGCAGCAACACACACACGCAGCAACACACACGCTCACGCACGCACACACACGCAGCAACGCACACACACTCACGCACGCACCCACGTGACGGGGCAGCAGTTCACGTGTAGGAGCACACACACGCAGCAACGCACGCACGCACACATACGCATTCACACACGCACACACCCACGTGACGGGGTAGCAGTTCACGTGTAGAAGCACACACTCACGCAGCAACACACGCACGCACACACGCACGTCATCACCGGGGAGACAGGCGGCCGGGACGTGCTGTTGACCACCCGCCCCACCCCCTCACGTGCCGTGCCCCCGGCCTTCATAGATGCTCCGTAACACCTTGCCCCAACGGTCTATTAGAGGCTACGCGGGGGATCTTTGTCTTTGTGCGAGCTTGTGGACGCGTGTATTCTGCGTGTTCCCGCGTGTCTGTGTGTCCACGCATGCGTGTTCGTGCGTGCTCACGCTTGCTTGAGTTTCGATTTAAAGCATTCGTGACTGCAGGGATTCATCTTCTTGGTTCTTCCGGTAAAGTCACGTAGAATGGAATTAATAAAATAATAAAAGTAAAGCATAATAAAATAATATTATATTATAATATATTTTATTTTATTATGTTTTATTTTTATTATTTCACGTAGAATTGAAATAATAAAATAATAACAATAAAACATTTTAAAATAATATAATATATATAATTTTATTATGTTAAATTTTTATTATTTTTTTATTTCCATTCTACGTGACTTTACCGAAAGAACCAGGAAGATCGTGCCTGAGTGTTGACTCGTGCCTGTGTGCTCACGCGTGCCTGTGTGTTCGTGCGTGCCTGTGTGTTGACGCGTGCCTGTGTGTTCGCGCGTGCCTGTGTGTTGACGCGTGCCTGTGTGTTCGCGCGTGCCTGTGTGTTGACGCGTGCCTGTGTGTTCGTGCGTGCCTGTGTGTTGACGCGTGCCTGTGTGTTCGCGCGTGCCTGTGTGTTGACTCGTGCCTGTGTGTTCGCGCGTGCCCGTGTGTTCGCGCGTGCCTGTGTGTTCGCGCGTGCCTGTGTGTTCGCGCGTGCCTGTGTGTTCGCGCGTGCCTGTGTGTTCGCGCGTGCCTGTGTGTTCGCGCGTGCCTGTGTGTTCGCGCGTGCCTGAGTGTTCGCGCGTGCCTGAGTGTTGACTCGTGCGTGCGTGCGTGTCCACGTGTGTGCAGCCCAGCTGAACCTGGTGGACCTGGCTGGCAGCGAGCGGCTGGACAAGTCGCAGTCGACGGGCGAGCGGCTCAAGGAGGCGCAGCACATCAACAGCAGCCTCACGAGCCTGGCGCTCGTCATCATGGCGCTGTCCAACAAGGTCCGTCACCCTCGCCACCCCCAACACCCCCAATGCCCCCAACACCCCCAACACCCCCAACACCCCCAACACCCTCAACACCCTCAACACCCTCGCCACCCTCGCCACCCCCAACACCCCCAACACCCCCAACACCCCCAACACCCTCAACACCCTCGCCCCCAACACCCTCTTCCCGCTACCCTCGCCCCCATGGCACCCTAACCCCCGTCACCATGTTGCCGTGTCACCCATTCACCATGTCACGAACTCCCGTCACCGTGTCACCCATTCGCCGTGTCACTATGTCACCCATTCACCATGTCACCCATTCACCGTGTCACTATGTCACCCATTCACCGTGTCACCCATTCACCGTGTCACTATGTCACCCATTCACCGTGTCACCCATTCGCCATGTCACCCATTCACCGTGTCACCCATTCGCCGTGTCACTGTCACCCATTCACCGTGTCACCCATTCACTGTGTCACCCATTCGCCGTGTCACTATGTCACCCATTCGCTGTGTCACTATGTCACCCATTCATCGTGTCACTGTGTCACCCATTCACCATGTCACCCATTCACCGTGTCACCCATTCGCCGTGTCACTATGTCACCCATTCACCGTGTCACCCATTCACCATGTCACCCATTCGCCGTGTCACTATGTCACCCATTCACCGTGTCACTATGTCACCCATTCACCGTGTCACTATGTCACCCATTCGCCGTGTCACTATATCACCCATTCGCCGTGTCACTATGTCACCCATTCGCCGTGTCACTATGTCACCCATTCGCCGTGTCACTGTGTCACCCATTCGCCGTGTCACTGTGTCACCCATTCGGCGTGTCACTATGTCACCCATTCGCCGTGTCACTGTGTCACCCATTCGCCGTGTCACTATGTCACCCATTCGCCGTGTCACTATGTCACCCATTCGGCGTGTCACTATGTCACCCATTCGGCGTGTCACTATATCACCCATTCACCGTGTCACTATGTCACCCATTCGCCGTGTCACTATGTCACCCATTCGCCGTGTCACTGTCACCCATTCGCCGTGTCACTGTGTCACCCATTCGGCGTGTCACTATATCACCCATTCACCGTGTCACTATGTCACCCATTCGCCGTGTCACTATGTCACCCATTCGCCGTGTCACTATGTCACCCATTCGCCGTGTCACTATGTCACCCATTCGCCGTGTCACTATGTCACCCATTCGCCGTGTCACCCCCCCCACCCTGTGTCGGTACAGGAGCAGCACATCCCGTACCGCAACTCCAAGCTCACGTACCTCCTGCAGAACTGCCTGGGAGGGAACTCAAAGACGTAGGTGGTGGCACACCCACACCACGCGCACGCACACACACACACACGCACCCACACACACACACACCCACACCACACACCCACACCACGCGCACACACACACCCACACCACGCGCACACACACACCCACACCACACACACAACACACACACACCCACACACACCCACACCACGCGCACGCACACACCACACACCCACACCACGCGCACGCACACACACACACACGCACACACACACACACCCACACCACACGCACACACACACACCCACACCACACACACAACACACACACACCCACACACACCCACACCACACACACCCACACACACACCCACACCACGCGCACGCACACACACACACACGCACCCACACACACACACACACACACCACACGCACACACGCGCACACACACCCAACCAGACCATGCACACACACCACACACACTGCCCACACCACGCACACACCCACCCAACCAGACCACGCGCACACACACCCACACATCCACACCACGCGCACACACACACACACACCCACACACACACACCACACACCCACACACCCACACACACCCACACCACGCGCACGCACACCACACACACTGCCCACACCACGCACACATCCACCCAACCAGACCCCGCACACACGCACCCACACACCCACACCACGCGCGCACACACACACCCACACACACGCACACACCCACACACACCACGCGCACGCACACCACACACACTGCCCACACCACGCACACACCCACCCAACCAGACCACGCGCACACACACCCAAACGGACCCAGACTACATGCACACACACCCACACCACCCACCCACACACACACACACCCAACCAGAACACGCACACACACCACCCACACCACCCACACACACTGCCCACACCACCCACACGCACACACCACCCACACCACCCACCCACACGCACACACACCCAACCAGAACACGCACACGCACCACCCACACACACTGCCCACACCACCCACACGCACCCACACTGCCCACACCACCCACACGCACCCACTCACCCACCCAACCAGACCACGCGCACACACACCCACACGGACCCACACAAAGACAAAAGATCCCCCGTATAGCCTACAGACTGTAGGGGCAAGTGCTGTTAGCGAGCACCTATGAAGGCCGCACGTGTCCTCACCTGGTTGCACAGAATGCCTCTGCGTGGCGTCAAATGTCGGTTTTACACGTGGTGGTGGTGGTGGTAGCAGTAGTAGCAGGAGGTGGCTTTCCCGACCAATATCCACAATGGAGATGTTGTGGGTGAGATGGCGTAAATAAAAATGTGTGTCGTCAAACCCGCCACCACCCGACGCATGCAATCGGCAAGGTTGCGTTACTAATTGGCGGGTTTAGCGACACATTTATAATGATTACATTGGCGAGATCTGAGCCAAACAAAAACAGCCTCTTGTGGCGTTAAATGTGAAAGCTCCTCGACTTGGCAAACCCGTCTGGCGGGGTCCATGCGGTAACAAGGTCTGTGTTGTCTAACCACCCACGCACCCACGCACGCATCCATGCACCAACTCTCACACTCACCCACGCACTCACCTACCCACGCACCCACCCACACACCCACCCACACACTCACCCACTCACCCACACACACACCCACCCACACACTCACCCACTCACCCACACACTCACCCACACACACACCCACCCACACACTCACCGACTCACCCACCCACACACCCACCCACCCACACACTCACCCACCCACGCACCCACCCATGTACCCACTCATCCACGTACCCACCCACACACTCACCCACACACTCACCCACACACCCACCCACACACTCACCCACACACCCACCCACACACTCACCCACACACTCACCCACGTACTCACCCACACACCCACCCATGCACCCACCCACACACTCACCCATGTACCCACCCACGCACTCACCCACACACGTACCCACCCACCCACACACTCACCCACGTATCCACACACTCACCCACCCACACACTCACCCACACACTCACCCACACACCCATGTACCCACCCACCCACGTACCCACCCACACACCCACTCACCCTCCCTCCCACCCACCCCGCAGGTTGATGTTCATCAACCTCAGCCCTTCGGAGGACAACTTCTCCGAGACGCTAAACTCGCTACGGTTCGCAACAAAGGTGCGTGCGTGTGTGGTGTGTGTGTGTGTGGTCAGGATGTGTGTGTGTGGTGAGGGTGCGTGTGTGTGTGGTGAGCATGTGTGGTAAGCGTGTGTGGTGAACTTGCATGTGCGGTGAGTGTACGTGTGCTGTGAGCATGCGTATATGGTGAGCGTGCGTGGTGAGCGTGTGTGTGCGGTGAGCGTACGTGTGCTGTGAGCAAGCGTGCGTGGCGAGTGTGCGTGGTGGGTGAGCGTGCGTGGTGGGTGAGCGAGCGTGGTGGGTGAGCGTGCGTGGTGGGTGAGCGTGCGTGGTGGGTGAGCGTGCGTGGTGGGTGAGCGTGCGTGGTGGGTGAGCGAGCGTGGTGGGTGAGCGTGCGTGCGTGGCGAGCGTGGGTGAGCGAGCGAGCGTGGGTGAGCGAGCGAGCGTGGGTGAGCGAGCGTGGTCAATGCTAAATTGCCGCTGTGGCTCAGAACCCTTCGCCTCGCCGACCTCTGACCCCTACCCCCTGCCCTGTCCCCTCTGCGTGACGACGACGCAGGTCAACGAATGTGTCATCGGAACCGCGCAGGCCAACCGGACTTAGACAACCGGACTTAGACAACAACCGGACGCAGACGGATGGAGTCGTCTCATCGTTTGAATCGTGCGCTGGGGGCGGGCGGGGGGGGGGTAAGACCACTTTGAGAGTCCTGACGGAGACCTGAATCGGAGAGCAGCCCGCCCGCGGCTCGCGAAGTCGTGCAGTCGTGCGGTCGGGGTTTTATTTTAAATGTTAGCCCAGGGTTCCTGTTTGCGTTCTCAGTAGTCGCGCGCCAAAAACAACAAATTCGGTTAGGCGGTTCGCCAGCAGGCAATGGTCTCCACCGCCATCGTCGCCACCGCCGTCATGATAACCACGTCATCACGACCACCATCATCACCGTCATCATCACCACCACCACCATCATTATCATCATCACCACCATCATCGCCATCATAATCATAACCTCATCATCGCGACTACCATCATCACCGTCATCACCACCACCATAATCGTCAACATCACCACCATCATTATCATCACCACCACCATCACGACCACCATCATTATCATCATCACCACCACCCATCATTATCATCATCACCACCACCTTTATCATCACCACCATCTTTATCATCATCGCCACCACCATCATAATCATAACCTCATCATCGTGACCACCACCATCACCGTCATCACCACCATCATAATCACCACCACCATAATCACCACCACCAACATCACCACCACCATCATCATCATCACCACCACCATCATCATCATCACCACCACCATCATCATCATCACCACCACCATCATTATCATCATCACCACCACCATCATTATCATCATCACCACCACCATCATTATCATCACCACCACCATCATTATCATCACCACCACCTTTATCATCACCACCATCTTTATCATCATCGCCACCACCATCACCACCACCATCACCACCACCATCACCACCACCATCACCACCACCACAGCCTTAACGGACCGTTCGGTGGTGGCACGCAGCCTTTCCAGCAGCCTGTCCCGCCACGCTCATCTCATGAAATGCATTTTATATCTCGTAGAGCGGTGTAGCGTATTGTAGTAGTATTGTAGTGTATCGTGTAGTGTTCTAGTATAGCGTTGTGTCTGTGTGTCTAGTGGTGTACGTTGAACTTCCTTCGCGCCGTACGTAGCCAGCCGTCGCTAGTCAGAGGTGCGGGTGGAAGGACAACAAATGTAAACACACAAACAACAACAACGAGCAGCGCCTCATGAAGGCCGGCACTGTGGCACGGAGAGAGGGGGGGGGGGGGCGGTGTGGTTTGGCCAGCACCACAAAGACAAAGATCCCTCCCCGTGCCCGCGTAGCCTCAACAGACTGTCGGGGCAAGTGTCGCGAGCGAGTGGCAGCGCCGATGAAGGCCGGCTACACGGGGAAGTGGTGGTGGTGTTGGTGGTGGTGGTGATGTTGGTGGTGTTGGTGGTGGTAATGTTGGTGGTGGTGGTGGTTCCAGCCACACCAAAGACCTCGTGTGCCACAGGTCTGGCCTTCACAGCTGCAACTAACAGCACTTGCCCCCAGCAGCCTGTTAGAGGCCACACGGGGGAGTGGTGGTGGTGGTGGTGATGTTGTTGGTGGTGGTGGTGGTTCCCGCCACACCAAAGACCTCGTGTGCCACAGTACCGGCCTTCACAGCTGCTGCTTGCAGCACTTGCCCCCAGCAGCCTGTTCGAGGCTACGTGGAGGGTCCGGGGATCTTTTTGGCACGTGACCTCCGGCCTGTTCGTCTCCTGTGCCTCCCGCCCCACCGCTTGCTGTCGTGTCGCTGTTGGGGCATGAATGGGAATGGCTTGGGGAGGTAAATAAACAAAAAAGAATCCACGTCTATTTATCCTTTTGATGAGCGGCTTTCTTTTCGTTTGTTCGTTGCTGTGATTGTGTGCGATGGGGAGAAGTGGGCGGGAGGCGGAGGAAAGACGACACTTATACACTACATTATACACTACATTTATACACTACATTATATTATACACTACATTATATTATACACTACATTATATTATACACTACATTATACACTATATTATACACTACACTTATACACTACACTATACACTACAGTTATACACTACACTATACACTACACTTATACACTACAGTTATACACTACACTATACACTACAGTTATACACTACACTATACACTACACTTATACACTACATTATACACTACACTATACACTACACTGTATACTACACTTATACACTACATTATACACACACACTACACTATACACTACATTATATACTACATTTATACACTACATTATACACTACATTATATACTACACTATACACTACACTATACACTACACTATACACTACACTTAGACACTACATTATACACTACACTATACACTACATTATATACTACACACAACACTACACTATACACTACATTATACACTACACTATACACTACACTTATACACTACATTATATTATACACTACATTATACACTACATTATGCACTACACTTATACACTACACTATACACTACACTATACACTACATTATAAACTACACTATACACTACACTCTACAGTACACTTATACACTACATTATACACTACAATATACACTACACTATACTACACTACAGTATACACTACACTACACACTACACGTATACACTACACTATACACATTATACACTACACACATTATACACTACACTATTATGCACTACATTATACACTAGATAATACACTACACTATACACTACATTATACACTAGATAATACACTACACTATACACTACATTATACACTAGATAATACACTACACTATACACTACATTATACACTAGATAATACACTACACTATACACATTATACACTACACTATACACTACACTATACAGTACACGTATACACTACACTATACACTACACCAGGGGTCGGGAACCTTTTTGACTGGGAGAGCCATAAAAGCCAAATATTTCTAAATATATTTCATTGAGAGCCATATGGTATTTTTAACGTATAATAAATTAAAAATGTCTCACTTTTAATGCGACTTCTGGTGCTGCATGGTTTTGCTGATGGCCTTGTAGTCTGGTTCGTACGTGGTGAGGTTGAGCTTCGTGCAGGCGTGACCCGTGACATTTATCTTCAAAACTAATTTCTGTTTACTTTAAAATGACACACTATTATGAAACAATATTTAAAAATCAGTTCCAAACTGATTTTTTGTTTTTTCATTATTATTATTTTTTAAAACTCAAAATTGTCCGGGAGCCATATGCCGTCACTGGAAGAGTCATATATGGCTCGCAAGCCATAGGTTCCCGACCGCTGCACTACACTATACACTACACTTAGACACTATCTTCTTGGTTCTTTCGGTAAAGTCACGTAGAAGGGAAGTAATAAAAGAATAAAAATAAAACAATATAATAAATATAATAAAATAATATTTTATTTTATAATGTTTTATTTTTATTATTTTATTACTTCCCTTCTACGTGACTTTACCGAAAGAACCAAGAAGATGAATCCCTGCAGTAACGAAAGCTTTAAATCGAAACTTAGACACTACATTATACACTACACTATACACTACACTACACTTCTACACTACATTATACACTACACGTATACACTACATTATACACTACATTATGCACTACACTTATACACTACATTATACACTACACTACACTTATACACTACATTATACACTCTACTTATAAACTACATTATACACTACACTTATACACTACATTATTAACTATACACTACATTTATACACTACACTTATACACTACACTATACACTACATTATACACTACACTATACACTACACTGATCTACTACACTTATACACTACACTATACACTACACTATACACTACACTATTATATACATACACTACACTATACACTACACTTATACACTACATTATACACTACACTTATAAACTACATTATACACTACACTATACACTACATTATACACTACACTTAGACACTACACTATACACTACACTTATACACTACACTATACACTACACTTCTACACACATACACTATACACTACACTTATACTATACACTACACACATTATACACTACACTTAGATACTATACTATACACTACACTTATACATTACATTATACACTACACTATACACTACACTTTACACTACACTACATTATACACTACACTATACACATTATACACTACACACATTATACACTACACTATACACTACACTACATTATACACTACACTATACACTACATTATACACTTGATAATACACTACACTATACACTACATTATACACTACACTAAATTATACACTACACTATACACTACACTACATTATACACTAGATAATACACTACACTATACACTTGATAATACACTACACTATACACTACATTATACACTCCACTACATTATACACTACACTATACACTACACTACATTATACACTAGATAATACACTACACTATACACTACATTATACACTTGATAATACACTACACTATACACTACACTATACACTACATTATACACTACATTATACACTCCACTACATTATACACTACACTATACACTACACTACATTATACACTAGATAATACACTACACTATACACTACATTATACACTTGATAATACACTACACTATACACTACACTATACACTACATTATACACTACATTATACACTCCACTACATTATACACTCCACTACATTATACACTAGATAATACACTACACTATACACTACATTATACACTTGATAATACACTACACTATACACTACATTATATACTAGATAATACACTACACTATACACTACATTATACACTAGATAATACACTATACACTATACACTACACTATACACATTATACACTACACTATACACTACACTATACACTACACTATACACATTATACACTACACTATACACTACACTATACACATTATACACTACACACACTATACACTACACTTATACACTATACACTACACTATACACTACAATACACTACACTATACACACTATACACTACACTATACACTACACTATACACTACACTATACACTATACACTACACTATTATATACTACTGTAGTGCAGGACTTTGTCCCCGGGTGTCAAGGATCACACGGAGACCAGATTCTGTTCAGGGCTGCCGCAGTTTATTCATTCTCTCTCTCTCTCCACACTTCACCTCGTCGCGGGCACTCGCTACCCCCACACGTCTCTCTTCCTCTCTCTCTCCAAGCTACCTCGCACGCAGCGTAGCGCTAACCACTACACCCGCCGCTCCCCACACAGACACGCACACAGAGAGACACACGCACACACAGAGACACACAACGACACGTGTGATGCGAACTTGCTCTGCGGGCGCACCACCTAAGACCTCACCACCACCAAGCGACGGTGCCGACGCTGCTTCCCCTTCACCACCCCCCACGTAAACACACACTCGCACATTCCCCCCACATAGAGCCCCGAGGGGAGGTCACCTGGCCGACAGGTTTTCACCCAGAAGCCCTCTCATCGGGATAATCTTCACGGTTTCCTGCGGCCAGGGAATTGGGCGATCTCCCCCGATGCTAACCCGCACCGCGGCGCCGTGACTTGCGTTGAAATTACATGGTCACGACGGGGCTGCCCAGCCACCGCGGTTAACACACACACCACACACACGGGTCGGCAGGCAGGTAGGGGGCGGAGCCACGAACGGCGGGAAAGCGGGGTCCCCCCTCTGATTGGTCGGGCGCTTGGCGGCAAACTCAGATGCGGACGTCGCTGAGATCAACGGTCCGAGTGGAGCTCGGGTACAGGCGAGCGATCCGATTGGCCGGCAGATTGGGCTCTTTGATGTAGGTAACAAACAGGTCCCTGCGGGGTGGGCTGGTAGGAACGAATAACCAAAGAATATAAACATAATGTATTATTACACTTGTTTAGCCAGGAAAGCCTCACTGAGTCTAAAGGTTTTTGTAGGGTCCTGCCAAGTGTTTGCAGTAGGGGACGATGTTGCTACACCTAATCGGACGATACGAAGGGAGAGTTTGAGGCCTAGTTCTAGGCTTTAGGCCGCTGTGAGTTAATTTTTAATTTAAATGTTTTAATTAAAAGCTATCTCAGGGAATTATAAGGGAATGTTACACTTGTTTAGCCAGGAAAGCCTCACTGAGTCTAAAGGTTTTTGTAGGGTCCTGCCAAGTGTTTGCAGTAGGGGGCGATGTTGCTACACGTAATCGGACGGACGGACGATATAATCTATTGTAGGCTGGTTCACTTCGTTCCTACCAGTATAAGAGGACGATAGAAAGGGGCAAGAGGCTCTCTTTCTGCTCAAGTCCGCCTCGGGACCGGAGGCTTGCCGGCCACTAGACCGTCCGTGAGACGATCATCAGCGTAGCCAGGCCTCGCTCCCAGCGAGAGCTCCGTCCATCCTCGTCTTCCCCCCCCCCCCCCCCCCGGCTCTCCACGCAGCCGAAGCATAAGTACGTGAGAGAGAGAGAGCGGGAGTTGGGATTTAACTTAAAAGAGTCTAGGACAGGGGTCGGCAACCTACGGCTCCGGAGCCGCATGCGGCTCTTTACGGGCTGCTTTTTGACGATATGTACGTATGTACAGTATGTACTCAGATGCATTGCGGCTCTTGAAATACTGAATTTTGTACCGAATTGGAAAGAAATGGCTCTTCTTGTTATTTTGGTTGCCGACCCCTGCTCTAGGGAGAGTAAGGCTAAACAGACTGGGTAAATCAGGGGTCAGACCATCGGGAGATAATTATCAATTATTTAATTCATTATTTTATCTTTAGATGTGACTTAACCGAAAGAACCAAATAA